CTCTTTTCAGATGAAAGCAAGTTTTGTATTTCATTTGGAAGTCAAGGCGCCAGAGTCTGGAGAAAGGCTGGAGAGGAGCAAAATCCAAGTTGCTTGAAATCCAGTGTGAAGTTCCCACAGTCAGCGATGGTTTGGGGAGCCATGTCAGCTGCTGGTGTTGGTCCACTGTGTTTCATCAAGCCCAGAGTAAATGCAGCTGTGTACCAAGAGATTTTAGAGCACTACATGCTTCCGTCTGCTGAAAAGCTCTATGGAGATGAGGAATTCATTTTCCAGCATGATCTGGCACCTGCCCACAGTGCCAAAACCACCAGTAACTGGTGTACTGACCATGGCATTACTGTCCTCGATTGGCCTGCAAATTCCCCTGACCTGAACCCCATAGAGAATATGTGGGGTATTGTGAAGAAGAAGCTGAAAGACACCAGACCCAACAATGCTAATGAGCTAAAGGCCGCTATTGAAGCATCCTGGGCATCCATAACACCTCAGCAATGCCACAGGCTGATTGCCTCCATGCCACGCCGCATTGATGCAGTAATCCGTGCAAAAGGATTCCCAACCAAGTACTGAGTGCATTAATGGACATTTTCAAATGTTTGATTGTGTTTTGCTGTTATAAATCTTTTTTTTTTACTTGGTCTGAGGAATTATTCTAATTTTTTGAGATAGGATTTTTGAGTTTTCTTAAGCTGTATGCCATAATCAGCAATATTAAAATAAAAGGCTTGCAATATTTCAGTTGATTTGTAATGAATCCAGAATGTATGACATTTTTGTTTTTTTAATTGCATTACAGAAAATAAAGAACTTTATCACAATATTCTAATTTTCTGAGACAGTCCTGTATATGTAATGTATTTAGTATAATTTTCTGTTGATCAAGTAATTGGTTTATCGGCTTTTTTTCTTTTGGCTGCAATAATAATGTATTCATTTGAATATTTGTATTTATTTATTGGAATTTACAAAAAAAACACACGAGTGCTTTTTTAATTTTCTGTTTCAAGATGATGGAGTTTATTTTTCACTCGTGTGCGCTGAGTTTTTTTTTTTTTTTGCCAAACGTGGCGCTAATTGAAAGTTCATTCGTTAATTTACCCATCATCTCTTCTTTTTTCTAACCTCATTTTAATCGTTTCCCATCATCCATGCATGCTTTAATTTAGCTAAGCAGGAAGCAGGAGTCCGCTGGCTGTGCGTTTGTGTTGTCATCGTTGTTGTTGTTTTTGTTTTCACTCATCAATGTGTTGTGTTTTACATTTCAATGCATCTTTTTGTTTCTTTCCCCTCCTTTTTGTTTCTTTTATTCATCTCAGGGAATGCGGTCTCAGTCAATGGACATAGAAAACTTTGAATCTGGGGTAAACATTTGTCTATTTATCAGATATTTTAAAGTTGTCTCTGCCTTACCTCATGCAGCCAACATCATTATTGTGGATTTGTGCGTTTAAAAACAGGAAGAGGGCGCCGTTCTTCCACAGTAAAACAAATCTTTAAATAACTTTTCTCTTTGTTGTTGTGTCTCTGATCAGAGGTACAGGCTGCCCTCCATTGAATCCCTGGACATTCCGGAATGCATACCGGTTGCCAAGGATACCAGGCACGGCCAATGGCTGCGCAGGAGGCGTCTGGACGGAGCGCTGAACCGAGTCCCCGTCGGATTCTACCAGAAAGTCTGGAGGATCCTGCAGAAAGTGAGCTTTAAACATTATTTCTTATTTGTTTTTAGGTCTGATTCGAGCCATTGGATCATCCTACACATTTCATTGTTGTGTTAACCTTAGTTTTGCCCTTTTAAATAATGCAAAAACATAACAGATCAAGAATGTATTTGAAGCCTCCACCTACATTTTTTTGCATATCAGCATGTTATAGAGAACACAAGATGCGTATATTTAAAAAAGAAAGGGATGGCAAACTACTAGAACAACATATTATAAAAACTATAACAAAATAACTATTAAATGTGAAAAAAGGGAAATGTAATTGTGAAAAGTGTGAGTAATAGCCTTTCCGGTGTTTTTTGTAGCATTTTATAGAGGACCATCGTCATGTGGGATTGATATAGTGAAAACCTTTTGTGCATAAATTAATAACCTTAAAAAAACATTGTCTTACAGTGCCACGGTTTGTCCATAGAGGGCTTTGTCCTTCCTTCTTCAACCACCAGAGAGGTAAGAGATCCACATGAAAAACATCACTATGACGACTTCATTATTGTGTTTCTTCTTACATGTGTTCTCCTCTGACTTCCATACCCACAGCTGTTCTTTAGCATGTAAGCATCTTTGTCTTTCCTTTCTCTTCTGACCTCCGTCCTCCAGATGACACCAGGAGAGATCAAGTTCTCTGTGCACGTGGAGACGGTGTTGAACCGCGTCCCTCAGCCCGAGTACCGGCAGCTGCTGGTGGAAGCCATCTTGGTTCTCACCATGCTGGCCGACGTGGAAATCCCCAGCATCGGATCCATCATCCACGTGGAGAAGATCGTGCACCTGGCCAACGACATGTTCTACAAGGATCAGGTGAGCGGGACGTCAACACCACATACATCCAGTGTATCTTATCAAGGCTTTTATTGTCATGTGTACATATTTACTGACAGATCAAATAGTGCGAGTAAACACGACGAATAAGTAAACAAACACTGAAATAATATGAAAAGAAGGCAGAGTTGGAGAGGAGCCAAAGACACGGCGCCATTATGCTGAAGGAGATAGGAAAGAGGAAAGGAGTTTCAAAGCCTTCCTTTCCTAAGATGTTTTAACAGCTTATCATGGCTGCCACTTGAACCAACCAGAACTCTCAGGTCTTCTGGGACATATCTGGGATGATATCTGGGATGATATCTGGGATGATATCATGAACGTTACGGTGCTTATTAAGTATTTTAAAACGTATGTGGTAAGTTGCCAAAGTGCTTTGTTTTGAACGTTCATCAGTATTATAATCAAAAAGAGAAATATGAACGTTAGTTTTTACTGAAATGATCAAATAAAGTCAACATTTCACTGAGCTGTGGGGTTTGTTCAACTTTTAAAAGATGTTTGAATGGTGATATACACAGTGATAGGTGTTAAGGACTAACGTTTATAATAAATACATTTGTATTGATTTTAAGATCTTTTCATACAATCATACGTATTGGGATCATTTGTATTAATGTGGACCGGAGGGAGAGGGTGACGAGCATAAGTTTCACTTTCCTTTTTTATTTCAATTCCAACTTTGGTCATGAAGAATATGTTTCTCTGTTGTTCATAAAGCATAAAGCAACAGCATCAGAGCACGGTGCAGAGTCTCTAGATGAGTCCCTCGTTCTTATTAAACATCCATGTTGTAGTCCGCTGTATAGAAAACTAGTTTCCATAGTTTCCCCACAGCAGCAGACNAAGTAATTGGTTTATTGGCTTTTTTTCTTTTGGCTGCAATAATAATGTATTCATTTGAATATTTGTATTTATTTATTGGAATTTACAAAAAAAACACACCGTGTGTTTTTTTTGTAAATTCCAATAAATAAATACAAATATTCAAATGAATACATTATTATTGCAGCCAAAAGAAAAAAAGCCAATAAACCAATTACTTAATCAACAGAAAATTATACTAAATACATTACATATATATTGGGTTTTTTATTTAATGTATTGGCCGCAGAAAACAACATTTGTGAATATTGCTTAGTCTCATTTAAAATAAAATAAAAGTCAGCAGATTATGAAGACAATCATCAGCTGAAGCTCCACTTACAATTATTAATAATTATCCAGCGCTAAATATTAGCAGCCACAAAGTAGCGTAGTGTTAATGGCTCGTATGATCTGCTGCATGGCTTTTAGTTTCACAAGAATTCAATCCAAATAAATCGAGTTTAAATGTCGATACTGGCGTCACCTTGCGAGAGAAGGAGATTGACGGGTCGAGCTGAAATGGAAAAGAAATCCACTCTGCGTTACAAACGTCCGAAAAACATGATTTACCTAAAACCAAGAACAGTATCTATTGAACCGAATACATAACAATATTTCTTCTGTAAGTTCGTATACTAAGTTATGTATACCATCACCTTAAAACTGTCCAATACATCTTCTGTGTTCCTGAATCACATTTACACTTAGAGTATTTAACATAATGTTTAAATAACTGATGTCTTTAAAAAGTAAAAGGACAGATTAAAGGTCTCCTATCATGCAAAAATATGTCTTTTATACATAAATATGTGTCCCCGGTGTGTCGGGGAACTCACGCAGCGTCAGAAAATCTCTTTTCCTCCGTACCCAAATCTTTTAAAAACGGGGGATCAACGAGCGGATACACATTTTCTGCCGATATGACGTAATTTGGGATGGTGGACCCACAGAAAGTTGCTATCAGAAACAATGCCTGATGTGTTTTGGACGTAATATGGTCTTTGTTTACATTAGCATCGCTAACACTCAGAGCTAACCTGTATTGGAGAGCATGTGTGTGAAGAAGCAGGAAATAAAAAAAGGAACTCACCTTGTGGTATAACCCGCAAGAGAGAAGCATTTGAGCTCCATACTGTTTCAGAAATAATCCTTGATGTGGTTTAGAACAGGATGGCGTTTTATCACAGCAGAATTTAACTTTATCTCCGGTAGAATTCTGATCAGGCATTAGCTTCGCCTCCTCCTTTTTTTTTTTGTAAGCTAAAGGTCCCATGTCATGGCCATTTCTACTGATCATAATTCCATTGTTGAGGTATACTAGAATAAATGTATATTGTGCAATTTTCCAAACTCACATTGGTTTCTCATACAGCATCTCTGTATAGTATGTGTATTCCCTCTATGTCCTAAATGGCTTGTTGGAGCTCCTGCCCCCCTCTCCCCCACCCCTCCCTCCCTGTGAGCCCAGTGGCCGTCTGCGAGACACAGCTAAACCCAGCCCGAAACACACAGACATCCGCAGCCTGGCTGGGAGTTTGTGTGTGTGCTCAGGCTGAGTTCCGCGGTGTCTCGCTGTCTCGCCGCCGACCCCACACCAGTGAGCCAGCTCACAGTGTCCCGCCTCGCAACGTCCCGCCGAGTGTGTGTGTGTG